AAAACCAATTTACATATGGTCTGGATTGATTATAAAAAGGCATTTGATTCATTACCACATACTTGGATCATCAACTGTTTCAGTGAAAACAGAATGTTTATAGAAAAAATGAAGCAGTGGAAGACAGAATTGGTGGCTGGAAATGAAAAATATGGGCTTGTCAACATTAGGAGAGGCAACTTCCAAGGTGACTCATTATCCCTCTTATTATTTGTCATTGCTATGATCCCACTTTCAGTGATCTTGAAGAAAACAAATCTTGACTACTAAAGAGAAAAAAATGCTAATAAAATCTCACATTTACTTTATATGGATGATCTAAACCTTAAGGAAAATCAGAAATTGAAAGCCAGTCATTGACAAATAGCGTAAGAATTTTTAGCACAGATATAACAATGGAATTTGGCCTAGAGAAATATGCTACAGTAGCAATGAATTGGGTAAAATTATGAACAATAATGGAATTGAAATGCTGAATGGCCAAACCATCAGGATGAAGCCTACAAGTATCTGGGCATTTTACATTTGGATAACATCAAGTGTGGACAAGTTAAAAATGTGATTAGTAAAGAATACATCTAAAGAGTCAGAAAATTACAAAAGACAAAACTGAACAGTGGAAACTGTTCATACCTGTTATATGATACACTGCTGGATTATTAACTGGACACAAGCTAAACTGGACAGTTTGGACTGAAAAACAAGAAAACTCACAACTATTCACTATGCATTAGATCCCCGTAGTAATTCTGATAGATTATACCAGCCCTGCAGAAATGGAGGCAGAGGTTTACTTCAAGTCAAGCAAACTGTTGAAGAGGAAAAGCATGCATTGGCTGATTATGTAAAAGATAGTCAAGAACAAGCACTGATACAAGTTAAACATTGGAACTTATTGAATATACAGGAAACAAAATGTGAATATTGAAATAATGTAATAAAAACACAAACAGAATGCTGGCAAGGAAAAGCATTACATGGCCATTTTCTACCAAAGATTGAGGGGAAAGTGGATAAAGATAAAACTTAGCAATAGCTTACAACTGGAGCATTAAAAAAAGAAATTGAAGGTTTGATATTGGTTGCTCAAGAGCAAGCTATTCAGACTAATGCAATCAGGGCCAGAATTAAAAAATCATCAAATGATTCAAAGTGCAGACTCTGCAAAGAAGCAGAAGAAACAGTAGATCATATACTCAGCTTGTGCAAGAAGATTGCACAAACTGACTATAAATAATGACATAATATAGTCCCCAAAATGGTTCACTGGAACATCTGTAAAAACTATCATTTGCCAGTATTGAAAAATTGGTGGGAACGTATTGTTGAAAAAGGAGTTGAAAATGGGTAGGTTGAAGAATTGTGGGATTTTCGAATACAGACCTATAAAGTCTTGGCACATAATACACCAGATTCAACTGTGGTTGAAAACAAGAAAGTGTACATAATTGATGTGGCAATACCAGGAGATAGTAGAATAGAAGACAAAGAATTGGAGCGGATCACAAAGGATCAAGTTCTGAAAATCGAGGTTGAAAGATTATGGGATAAACTAGAAGTGGTGGTCCCAGTGGGTGTCATTCCAAAACCCTTTTGTAATTGACAGACAAAAAACCTTGGACGGCACTTAGAGAATGTGCACATTGACAAAATTTCCATCTGTCAATTTCAAAAGGCCACACTGCTTGGATCCACACATATACTATGCCGATACATTACAACGTCCTATGTTCTTGGGAAGAACTCAATGTGAATGAAGGCCAACACCAACTAAAGAACTGGTAGCTCTGATTTCACATTGTTATGAATAATGATAATGATAATAATGCCAACAACAATAACAAAACAAGAGCATGAAGATGTATTATAGATGGTATGGTGATATATATTAAATAGAAATGAAGGGATTAATATGATTTACCAACTGCTGCTTTTAAAGTGAAAATGTATAAATCTGATTCTACTAATTAATTAAATGTTGTTCAGTATTGCTTTGTTGAATGGGGAGGGGCTGCTCATGGTTCACATTCTGAAGAGGAAGAACTGGGTGACCAGCAGAAATGGGAAATGAAGAGGCCACACAAAGAGATGCTATGCTAGACCCACAGATGCTAACCCCTGTCCTGGGCTTTTGAACCTAATGTTTTCTGGTAAAAAACATCAACCCAAACCCACCATGTATAAGGGCTCTCTCACTGATTCCACCTTTTTTACTTACTATTATATCTCCTCCTCTCACGAATTGTACTCGAGGCTGAAAGAACATGAGATCACAGATGTAGCAGATGTCACTTAAGATGTCTACAGCAATCCAGTATATTAAGTTGCTTGACGTTTGAACTGGGAATACTAATCGCAGTGGGATGAACCAGCAGTTCCAGTTATAAGCAACAGTAACTAAGAATAACCATATTACATAGCGACGATCTGGAAAAGAAAATAATATGCCTGCTTAAATTACTGTCATTGGGATATGGGAATGCATTTCTCCAGAAAATAAATGAAGCACCCAAGGAAGATATAAAAAATTGCTAAGTTTAATTGCAGCCTGAGGAGTGATGCATAGTTTACTTATCGGCTAACTAGTGTACCAAAGGTATTTTTAGAAGGCTTGTCTTCTGTCGCTAATCTTCAAACAATTAATGGATTCCACATTTCAGATGAGGGCTAATAGTCAGTCTAAGTCAGTGTTTCTCAACCTCAGCAACTTTAAGATGTGTGGACCTCGACTCCCAGAATTCCCCAGCCAGCATGGGAGTCGAAGTCCACACATCTTAAAGTTGCTGAGGCTGAAAAACATTGGTCTAAGTTAACAAAAGGGAAAACATGCCTACTTATCTATAGTGTAGTAGCACTTAATGTCTGCAGAGGTCTTAGGTGCCAGAAGATAATCACTGAGAATTTCATTATCTCTAGAGCAATTCTTTCTAATAAGAAAAGGTTGGCTTATACCTGTGTATGCATCTATGCTTTCTGGCAGTTTCATTTTTTTCATGTATTCTTTCATGGATAGTTTCTTGAATGGCCAACACAGCTTCTCTTCAGGTTTGATTTCTTCTTTTTTTTCCTCTTTTTTTTCTTCTTTGGGAATAGGGGCTAGGAGCTTCTTTTGGGGTGCTAAACAAGTTTCAGAGAGGCAGTCATTAATACAACTTTCTCAAATGCACCAAGTTCACTGAAGCTACAGAAACGTATCCTAGAAAACGTACTCCTTGCTCTACTCTTTTTACAACTGCCAACATTTACTATTGTTTCAGAAAAGTGATCTGGATAGGATTAATCCCATTATGAACAGAAATATATTTCTAAATTATTAGAGAAATGAAGGCTAGAAAAGGGCATCCCATACGGAATTTGCTGTTCAAAGTACAGGTAGTCCTCATTTAGCAACCATAACTGGGATCAGCAATTCAGTCATTAACCAAAGCAGTCGCTAAGTGAAACCGCAATGGTACTTATGATCTTACTTCAGCTTTCCTTTGCTTTATAGACCCGTGAAGGTCATAAATGTGAGGATTGGTCACAAAGTTACTTTTTCATCACTGTTGTAACTGAACGGTCACTAAATGAAGACTACCTGTAATGGTGTCATGTTGCTTCATGATAAAGGAAGTATTGGCTTGCATGCTGAGCAACAAAACAGTTTTCTGAGTGCTGATGTCTAATCAGTTTCTGATTAGAGATAAGAGTTAAATTGTAATGTGTCCTTAAATATTTCAAAGTTTTATAACTCTCTACTGAACTAGTAGAGAGGATACCCCTTTGTCTCCATGCTATGTGTAGAATCCAATTCTTGCATAGGTGTCCCTGAATAAAAAAAAGAACAACATCTTTTAACTAAGAGTATAAACTGTGTGAATAATGGTGCAGGACTAAAAACAATGAAATATTTATACAGTATTTCAGAAGTCAGGCTTCTACTTTTCTTCACAAACTTACAAAGTAGAAGTGGCATTGTTATCTCAATTTTCTCCTATATATTTTGTGTCTTTTAGATCCAGTTGGTTACATTTTCATTAAACTGTAGGATAGGCTAGAGATATACTTCTCACTATCTTTTTTGTAAGGAAATATAGATTTATTCATTTATTCTCCATAAGGAAAATTGATTTCAGGTAAGATTCATATCCCACTGTGGCTAAATGAATGCTATTCAGCATAAAAATGCATTGGAAATATGCAGGATATATTTTAAATAAATAAACAGGAAGATTGTTTTTATGCACCAAAAGTTATATAGCTGGATTTTGTTGAAAATACTCTCTGAATGTCACAATAGATTAACAATGCAAATCTATCTTTGGTTTCAGTCATGATTTTAAAAGTTTTATTTTATGTTATTATTTACTTATTTAAAGAGTTTATATGGCCTTCCAACTTGAACATTGTGACTCTGGGAGGCTTACAACAACCAGCCAACCAACCAAACAAAACCCAATTCAAATTAAAAGGCACACAGTCATTAATAAGCAACCTCCTCCTGATGGAAACTCTACTCATGCAAATATGCAGGGCTGCCTTCTCCCAAGAACATCTGTCTACCCCACACATTCCCATAAAGAGGGCCTGCTCCAGGTTCCCTCCTTTAAACCTTGCCATCTTATGGGACTTAGGAAATATACCCTTTCTGTACTGCCCCTATTCTGCGGAATGATCTCCCCCCCGCCCAAATATATGAAAGGTCCCAAATCTGTTAAGATCTGGCTTTTCCCCCAGGCATTTCAGTCCACTTTGAGTAGAATCCCCTTTTAGTTGTCTAATTGTACCATTTGGTCACCATTTTATATTCTATATTGTGGGTTGACCTTTTTTAATGTTGTACGGTTGTTTTTCTTTGTTATTGTTTGTGTCTGTTATCTGCTGCCAAGGTCACATTGTTTGAGTTGGATAACTATGATGTAAATAAGGCCGTATCAGCAGAATGGTCATCCTACATTACTCTATCTCCAAATCCTCTCTAACAGGCAAGTCAGTATGGAAAGGTTTCTCTAGATTCTGAAAATATGAAAAATAGTTATTTAAATAATAATTATACAGGTAGTCCTTGACTTAGGATGGCAATTGGGACTGGGATTTGCACTGCTAAGTGATGTGGTCATGAAGTTCGACTGCACTGCGTAGCGACAGCAATCCATGCAGTCCCGGTTGTCATCATTAACTGAATCCCATGGTTGTTATGTGAGGCAACTTTCTGCTGGCTTCTCACAACCAAATCAGCTTACAAGTCCCAGGCAGCTTGTAAGTAGGCCTGCAGGCAGATAAGTGGTTGCTGCTGGGTGGAGGAGGGTGCAGGAGATGCACAAGGGTGTGAGGGAGGTGTGCTGAGGGTCGGGGAGGGTGTGTAGGTGTGTGTGGGAGTGTGTGGGGGTGTGAGGGAGGCATGGCAAGGGGTGGGGAGGGTGTGGGGGGTGCGAGGGAGGCACAGTGATGGTTGGGGAGGGTGCACGAGGATGCAAGGGAGTCATGGCAAGAGTTGGGGAAGGTGATGGGGTGAAAGGGAGGTGTGGCAAGGATTGGGAGGGTGTGTGAGGATGGCGCGGTCAGGGTTGGGGAGGATGCACAGGTTTGCATGCGGGTATGAGGCAGGTATGGCAAAGGTCAGGAAGGGTGCCCAGGGGTGTGCAAGTGGAGCAAGTGCAGAGGGGCTGGGGAAGGGTGCACAGGTGGGGGAGACTTACCCCAGCAACGTGGGACCTTCTCTGCTGGCTTCCCCACTGACTTTCTGGGGAAGCCAGACGGGAAAGTTGGAAATGGCAATCATGTGTTCATGGAGCACTGCAATGGGATGTAAATGTGAGCCAGCTGCCATGCACCCAGATAGTGATCACATGACCGTGCGGGTGCTGGGATGGTCAGAACTTTGAGGACTGGTTGTAACCACCACTCATTCAGCACTATTGTAACTTCAAACGGTTGCTGAAGGAATGGTTGTAAATTGAGGACTACCTGTAACTGAGAAGCTAGAATAATAGAATTAGAAAGAACCAGTTCTGCTACCGAGCCCAAATGCCTGCACAAATCCAAATTAAAATGTACTCTCTACTGAAGGAGAATCTTTCCTCACTAGGTACTTGTATTCTAGGACAACTGTATAAGACTAATGCAAAGATATATCAAAGCTAAAATACTTGGATTTACAGTATATTAATTTTGATATATTTTTTTTTTTTAAATCTCAGTGGTTACTGTAGAGGAAGACTCAGACTATTGATGAAAGTTATAACAGCATGCATGACCTGAACTTGATATAAATTCTGTAGGTTATGTTTCTTTAATCCTTGGCTCTGTCACAAGATGTATAAATGCTGCAGGTATTCTTGAGGGTAAATCCAGTGTGGCAGGTTGGGGTGACAGGCATATTGAAACCTTTGAAGTACACTATTTCACAGACCTGAACACTTGTGACCCAGCAAGTTATAGACAACCTACTAGATATCCACTATATTTCTATACTGATATTTCTCTGAGGCTGAAAAAATTAAGGCAGTTGTCAAGCCTTGGATAATCTGTAAAAATGAGTTCTTGGATTAAAAAGTAATTTGCTGGGTTAGTATTGTACATATCTGTAATGGTATGTAGGAAAGTCCTTGGGAGACAGGGTGAAGAGATGCTAACTAGGGAAAGGTCAGATAAGAGAGGGCATAGCCTGGAGTTGGATAGCATGTGGGGCAAGAAGCTCAGAAGGGACCCTCCCTAGCTTCTTGGGCTGTAAAGGAGGTGGCAGGAGATTTGTACTTTCAGACTTGCAAGATTAAGTTAATGTAGCTTTACAATATAGTATAAGCTCATCTGGTCATGTTTCCTCTCTGGTTTACCTGGAAAGGCTGACAATATCTGACTAGGATGATAATATTATAAGTGATGACAGTAGAATTAAACCAATTGGAGGACCTGGTTCACAATGCCAGTTTATTACCTTCAAGCACTCATAACACAATGTAGGCAAAAGGATACAGCTTCCACAACTTACTTGTAGTTGGACTGAGTTCAGGTGAGGAGATTACTGGATTAGACAACTTTTCTTTATAAATAATTGTTCTTTCTCGCATTTTTTGGATGACTTCTTGCAGCTGTATTTGTACGTATTCATCGATAGTGGTTTCTGGGTGTTTATTTTCTGTGCTGTTTATGGGGGTGCAGATGGCAGGACAATGATTAAGATCTTTGAAAAATATTACTACATCCATTTCTTTAGATAAACTTAAAACCATCTAATAATAACACAGATGGTCCCTTATCTTGAGTAATGGAATAATTTGATTACTAAAACAGCAGACGCTGCAGAACTAGTTTTTCTGTATACTGGTCTGCTCCATATAGGAAACATATGCTTGAGTGGGACAGACACCTGAATAGGGGCTTCACCACTGCCAATAGATATGCACCTTTGGCTATGCTGAAGAATACATTTCTTTATACTAGAAATTATGTGGACCATTTCTCATTCTTACATAGTTAATGGCAGCAGCCAAAATTCTTTCTTCTCCTCATTATTCAATGTGCAAGATTTCAGTTTTTCTTTTGCATCCAAGAAGCCTAAACAGGCCAATTTAAACATTGTATGAAAAAGAATTGGCCACTGATTCAAAGGAAGTACTCTTGTCATCAATTGCATTGAAAAACACCAGGATATCGCTATTACATTTGTCTTTTCTTTCTGCTTCAGGCATGGGTGGTATGCCAGGAACATAAGTCATTAGTTGTTTCTCACTGCCAGCTTATGAATCATCAACTGGAAAATTAAGACTGCAATTATGTGTTTGCACATTTGGATGATTTTTATTAAGAAAAATAAAGTGAATTGTACCTCTATTTTTTATTCAATTATTTATCTTAGGATGAAAAAAAGAAAAAAGTTTTATTCATCTCCAGAAATTCAGTTTGATCCTTTTGTGCTGCCCTTTCACATATTTCGTGGAAGGGGCCATTTAGACCATTGTATCTAGTCCTCTGGTCAATGTAGGGATCCTAATAAAACATCCTTAGCAGTTGGCAATCCAACTTCTGGTTTATTGATTTATTACATTTATATAGCTGCTCATCTCATGCTTGTGACTCTGGGCAGCACACACAATTAAAAGAGCAAAAACACCAGTCCTTCAAAACAGTTAAAAACAAAGCCATTAAAAATACAATTAAAATGGTTAAACTATATCCATTAAAGGAGAGCCCATATCTCCTCTGATTACTGATTCCACCATCAAAATATTTTTATTATTACAACATTTTTCCTGACATACAACTGCAATCTGTCCTCCTTTATGTGTCCTGCTCATGGGGACATTAAAGACCACCGTACCTTCTCGGTTGTCCTCTCCCAAGGCCAAAGATACCTAGTTCTCTCAAACATCACTCATAAAACTTAGTTTCCAGCACCCTGTTCATTATTATTCTCCTTCACAAAAGAAGTCCAGTCACCACATCTCACTCTTACATACTCGATAGGGTTGTTGTGAGGATAAAATTAAAGATTTAAGTGTTGTATGCGTCACCTTGAGTTCCTAAAGGAAAGGAGGGATAAAAATCTATTAATCTGCACATTGTGGGAGTAGGTGGAACCCTACTGAAATTAAAAATGATACTAGAAATGCTGGCTTTAGAAAGGTGCTTTGTTTGACCCACCTCACTGAATATAGCAGCAACATAGTTAGAAAGAATTAACTTGAGTAAACACATAACTCCCCTCTCCACCCCCCACCCCCAGTGAGGTCAACTGCAATGTAACCAAAGAGTTGCTCATCTTCATGTACATTCTAATTTGTGCAGTCCCTCTTTGGCATAACATCCTTCCTGACTGACAAAGGACTTTGATTTGCAGACCAGATACTGCCATAATACTAATCACCTAAAAGATACAGATAATAACTTCATTAGTTATATGAACATTCCCTTGTTCATAGTGTCATAGTGCTATCACAGTAACAGAATAGGGACAATTTGCATGGCATCTCTCTGTCTGATAAGCTAATGTCTGTATACTATAAGCCAGTGGTTCTCAAGGTGTGGTCTGTGGACTTTCAGGGGGACCGTGGAGTTAAATAAATAAATATTTTAAAAATTCTCAGTTTTAATTTCTAATACAGTAAATATCAACAGATATAACCTGATAAACCAAAGCTCTTTGGGGTCCATCGATCATTTTTAAGAATGTAAAGGGGTCCTAAGACCAAAATGTTTGAGAACCACTGTTATAAGCTATCCTGGGGCTAGGCAAGAGGATGCTTTGCTTCCTTGAGCAATACCATCAACGATCCTTATCTAAGTTGTAAACTAATTATTCAATTACTCTATATTCCTTTTAAATTCTTTGCAAATCTGTATAAAATCTGTGACAATCAGTCTTGGGGTTCTTAGCTATTGCTGGATAGGAGCCTGGTGATCACTGTGTCTTTGCTAGCTTAGAAACCAGTTGGACCTAACTAATTGCATTGGCTTATTTCTTAAGGTGAATTTTTGCCACCACAAATTGGTGTAGTGAACAGGATAGGAAACTTTGGTATGGGGGAGGGGGGAGGGATTGCTTTATAGGAAGGCATCCCTGCCTTTTTTCAGTAGATCTGAAGCTCCCCTCTCTGACCCAGGGCTCTCTTTTTGGGACCTGAGCAAAGACATCTGGGGAACATTCCTGGCTGGCTGATTCTGCAATGTTATATTGCTGAACAAAGTCGTGTGTGTACAGGCCTGGTGTAGCTCTAAGTAGGCTAGCCAGGAACCCCCTGGCTAAGTGTGCAGAAGTGAGTAATGGGTGGGCTCAGGAAAGTGCCGTGGCTCAAAACAGGAAAGAAGGATCATGGCCCAACTGCTGGCAAATGTGGTGCCTTTTAAAGAACCTTTGCAGAAGTAACTGTTACCTTGGGAAGCATCTTGACCCTCTCAGAGCCCTGCCAATGATGAAGACCTGCAACAGGTGAAGCCAGTCTATTAACAGCCTTAACAACCTTGCATCCTATTAAGCCAGCTTAGTGCAAGATATCCACTTGCAAACAATGTGCAGAGGAGCACCTGGAGGGATTACTATGAGAGGCTTATACAGAGTTTTGTCAAATATTCTGGAAATGAACACCCGCTCCCCCACCACATAACGTAACTAGATTAGCTAGCCCTTCAAAACAGCCAAAGGGTGCTGGCTTCATTATTCAGTTTTAATACTGCCCTGATAGTTGATAATTCACTTCAGATGAGGTAAGGCACAGTCCTTCAATAGAAATGAATTCTTTTTCTGAATAACTGATTTTTGATTTACGACATGTATTTCAGTTGCCTAAAATACATTAAATTGTGCTGAGCCTGCAGTAAAGCTGTACATTCTCCTGACCTTCATTCACTCCTCTCATGAAAAGAAATCTACTGGGATATAAGTGAAAGAGTGCTAAAAGCAGCTGCAAAAGAGAGTCTGCATTTAATTTAAATATTTCTAACATATTCACTTAAAACAAAAATAATTGGTTCATGAACATGACAGATTGCCTTTAGTCTGAATAAGTAACCAAATATTTAGAGCTTAAAAACAATGTCGAAGGCCTGCAAAACTAAACACAAAAATATTGTTCTACCTTTAGCCATTTTAAAGAAAAATAGAAAAATCTTATCATAATAGATGACACAAAGCCTTGTTAAGAATATTTCTACAATGGGCTGGTCTAATGCTGGTCTGTCCTGTAGTTTGCTTACTTTTTCCACATACTGCTGGTATAAAGGTTTGCCTATGATTTCTCTGTCCCCAGGGTCTGCCCTAAAGAAGGAGGTTGCCCATAACTTCCAAGGGGAATAATATCCAGAATGCTTGTGAGAGGAAGCATAAGTTATCTATCTGTATTCTCCCTTTTATACAGATAAATCTGGAGACCTGTAGTACTTCTGAGACATTTCTTTTCGTAATCAGCTGGTGGTAGTGTTGAAAAAACATTGAATATGTTTCTGTAATCTAGCAATGTCATTTCCAACAATCATGAGTTTTCATTAACATTTGGACAAATTCCATTCAGTGAAATTTCCTACAACATTAATTAAAAGTTTTGTCCTTATAAGCAGTAGGTGGCTTTTATTGCTTCCAGATCAGGGTTGCTAGTAAGTTAGAGATGATGTAGACCAATGGTTTCCAACATGTGCTCTAAGAGCCACTGCTAATCAGTGAGCCATGGAGTGTTCAAAAATAAAATAAGAGAAAAATTGAAGACAAATATGACCAACATTTTTCCAAAAGTGGCCAATCAGAAGCCAGCATGAACAAAGGACTAATCAGGAACCAACATCACCAAAATGACCAATCAGGATTGGGCACTAAGTATCAATTAGAAACCAGCCCTCACCAA